GTCTGCTAGGGATTCGAGGACCTCCAAATTGAGGACCAGAGTTTGATAGGAGTCTTCCTCAAATGCCTCGTGGAGAGAAACTCCGGCCTTAAATGTTTACGCCTCCGTTCCTGCAAGTGAGTTATGCCAGATCGTTTCACTTGCTCTGGTCATTCACAGGTTTCCGGTTGTATTGGAAGAGCGAATTACGAGATTTGTTAGGAGACGAGATCTGATCACACGTGGCTTGAACGTGGACGCGTATGAATCAGCGGAAATTGTGAAGTACCTCGCGTGAGGACAAATGAAGATCTGTCACTGCTCATGGTAGATCCGACAAGTCTCAAGAAGAAGAGGAGGAAGAAGGGGAAGAGGAAGGAGTCGTTGACACTGGTGAGCTGAGGGCATCATTTATATCCTAGTTGTACAGACTCGTGTGTGGACTTCCTAAGTAGCAGATAATTCTGTCAATCCTCTGCCGACAGAATCGGTCTAAGCTGGACACTTTTTCACACTCTGTAACGACCCATGTAGCGCCCACGAGAATGTTGGAGTGAAAATCGATGGGAACTTGCGTTAAGGGATGTGAGGGAGGAAGTTCATACTTCGCGAAGTATAACGACAATAACATTAAAAGCATATCCAGAGGCTAGATCTTCAGCCACTCAATATTCAACTCAATTCGTATATTAACACTGGATGCGGTGATCTCACTAACGATGTTCTGCATGACGGCTGGTATGGTCTCCGTCTTCATTGAGGGGAGATCGGGCTGGACTAGTCAATCACCTCTGAAGCGTTCTTCCTCGAAATGATCCTAAACATAAAGACTTTGAGCAACCAAAGAGGGGAACGAGTCTATGGGAGAGGCCGCCCATATCTTCCTGCTCCATGGTGTCATCAAATCCGCTTATCACGAAGATTGAGCTCTCGTGGTAGGGACGTGGTGATGAATTCAAAGCATCAAGGGGCGATAAAAACGAGGGACAATCAGAACCTCAAAGTTGATCCTTCGGCCGATTAAGATAGGGTCAATTGTTGATGGAGGAATTTTATCGTAGAGCGACTCCCCCTGCTCTCCACGAGCCTCCGCAGACTAATATTCAAACAACAAGCGCCGAACATAATAATGCACATCCAAAACCACCAGTGTCCAATTTGGTCTGAAACAAACTGTTTGATGGTCAATTCTTGCTCGCCTAGGAAGGTGTGATCGACCACGGAACGCTGTCAGGATAGTGCGTGGCGTTTGGGCTCGCATACAGTTGAACATACGCCTCCTGTGACGTCATGTCAGCCAAGGAAGCGTCAATGCTTTCAGTGTAGTCGCGTCTAGGTTGGAAGAATTCTGGCCCAAGTTGTGTACGCCTAGTGAGAAGACTTGGTATCATCCGCTAAGTCCTTATCTTCCTGTTGCTTCACCGTCTTCTTCACACATCCCGGATTGTCACCCTTATTCTTTATCGAATAAGTCCCAAAGTATGATGGCTCAGACCTGATCCCTTGAAACTCGATGGAATCCATTACAACCTTGAGTGTAAACTATTCCACTTGTAGTCTTGTCCACGTAACATCCCTCGGATCTCACCCTAGTTGGGACTTACAGCTATATGTGCCCGAGACAATCATGATTGTCTGACACTCTTGGATCACAATGTTATAAGGTTCCACAGTTTACGGTACCACACGATTTTGGATCACATTAGTGCACTCATATCAGTCAAGTCACCCGGGCCTGTTGTGAATATCAAGATTAATGAGATCAATGGTATGGTCCGCAGGCATAGCGGAGGTGTCGTTCGAGCTACACTCCACTTGCATAGACAGGTCTTGAGACAAGACACTTACGCATCCCTCCCACAGATAACTATCGAGGATACACGAGGGATTTTCGCTTCACGGGTGGCGCCGCGCTGTAGTAACATCAAGGTGCGATCTGTCCAATCGTATCATACTCTGCCCATTGATAGTGGCGGTAGTCTCTCACAGCACTTAACAACGCAACATGACCACCCTCCGCTCAAGGAAATGCGGCATAATCATTGGTGTTATCGATACATCCATCTTCCACTGGAGCACCTGCTGTGACATGTTCGTCACCTGAAAGGGTCGGCCGCCATGATGAACAAGTCTCCCAAACATCTTCAGAATTCACGTCGCTCACTATCTCATCGTAACTTGACATACCATCAGAGCGTGTGATGGCCTCGAGGACATCTCCACAGGAGGAGCCTCGTCGCCTCTTCGTGGGTAAAAACGCATCATCAAACCTGTTATCACTCCGAGGCAGACTCATATCCAACGCCAACGTACTGGCCGTCATCGTATCAACTATCTAACAAGACACTATCCCCACTATCACTAGCACTATGTCCACCTACTCCACCAGATGGGACCGTCAATGCGTCCGTGGGTAGAGTTCTCCTCGTCTTCATATGCTCTTGCACTTCATGAGACAACAACACACAGAGCAAATCCAGAGCCTAAAAACCTCATTTTCCCCTATTATGGCAATGCCTTACCTCTTCTGTGTAATCCGCTACCCCGTGACTCTTCAAAGCGCGCATCACAAGTTCTCGTCGCTTCGATTCCGCCGTCTTCAAAGTCTGTGAACAAGTAACCCTTCCGTCGAGAATATTCATGCACACACCTTAGCGTTGTTGATGATAGTCTTCAATGAGCCCGGCACAGAGACCAACAGGTTGCCCGCCCCACCGTGATACCCGTGATAGTGATGGCCGGTACTTGCAGCCGCTGCCGCCGCTGCTGCCGCTGCAGTCACGTTTGCTGATGACATCTTCAAATGAATCTTCGACCCCACAAAGATGCCCCCCCCAGTTGAATCAAGGCACTGTGACGATGACACGCCAACAATCATTCAATAGACTTCTATTAGAATACGAAATAGATCAGCCGAGACAGCCTCGATGTACTACAGGATGCCGCTTCGGACGTATTCCAGCAAAGCATAGGCATACCCCAGCTCTTCGTCCAAGGCCTGAGCACACTCAGCATAATATGTGGTCAAAGGGACTCGCTTGAGGAACTTACAGCGACTATCCCATCGGCGCCACTAGTGTGAAAAACTTGATGATAAACTTCGCTCCGCCGATTGTCAACACGCCTTTGTAATCTCTCTATCTTCAGACGACCTGTCTCGATTGCAGCATCATACGAACTGGGAAGGGCCGGTCCAGCATCTACTCCAAGTTTAGCATTCCGCAGCCGGAATACCTCCAAGGCAATTTCCTGAGTAACGTCGTCCCCGGTGAACAATCAATTACGTGAGGCTCACCTCGCACTCAGTTTCAACAGCTGTATAGAACGCACCAGCTGCTGAGAGTTTACCACTATCAGAAGCGCCGGCTAGTGCCCATAGAGCCTTCCAATACCACTCCTTTTCCACATCATGCGCGGCGCCTGCAACACAGGCCTCTCGACGCCGCTTGATATCGAGCGCCAAGGAGGCCAGCAAAGCACACTGTTGGACTCGGCTGAGACAACCCACTGGTGGTAGCGTCTCGAATGATGGCGGCGGACAAAGCACAAAACTCTGAGAAATAACCTTGGAACAAGTCAGCTCACTGACTCCAGTACCTCAAGTTCGGGGTTTATGAGCAATGCCAACTCGCAGTCAGAAGCATCTGGGCGGTCTATGATGATCTCCAGCGGGTTACCAGGCACATGCTTCGAATCCAGCCAACAGTGAAGGTTGTCTTCATGGACCACGGATTTATGTTTCAGCCACCATACCTTCAATTTCAGGGGTATCCGCCTTGGGCTGAATCGACCATCGAACTCAGTCTCGCTTCCTCTTTCCATCCCTGTAATCCACGGCGGTCGCTTGGAAATCACACAGGGCTCCTCTAGCTGCCACAGCTTCAAAGCGTAGCCGTTTCTCAGTTCTTCTACCGCTGAGTGTACCACAGGCAAGCCCGGCTCTCGCAGCCACGTGTTCATCCAATCAGCAATCTCCCTAGCTGGCCATCCGGAAGCATCTCCCATGGCACGCCACAGATCCTCTTCAGTGTAGGTGGACTGCCCATGGCTCTTCAAGAGTGATCCTGAAGACAGAAGTGTCGGCCACCTTACACGCGTCTTGAGTCGACACTTACGCAAACCTTTGATGAAGGCCTCTTCTCCAACGGCGCTTCGGAGCATCCGAAGCACGCATGCCCCCTTACCATAGGCGATGGTATCAAAGACCACTTCGGTGTCATCAGTCCCACTAGTGCTCGCCTTTGGACACTCGATTGGATGAGATCCTGACAAGACGCCTACTAGGGTCACCAGTTGATGCTTACGTACTTGCCGGTGAAGCGTCAGCCAACATCGCATCAAGTTGGACATCGGTGATGAAATGCTCCCAAATCCCTTTCCCGAGACACGAATTGAGCCTGATTTTTCAACTGCTATCTATGCCTCCTGAGCAATGCTTTCTTACACATGCAGTTCCTTCGTGGAGATCCGAGCGTCTTCCGTCCAGGTCGGTAACAACTCGCACATGATGAATTCGAGCAGTCTGGCCATACCCTCCTTGAGCCAGAGTTGTTGAAAACTCCTCGGGGTGAGCATGTCACCAAACCACATATGGGAAACCTCGTGGCACATCAGTCGGGCGGTGCGCCGTCTACGACTAAGCAACTCCGACAGATGCTTCAATTTCGGAGCAATAAGTGTCCCCTGACCATCCGGGTACAGCTTCTTCTCTTTTTCCATAGTACGAATCTCATTGGCAATCTTCGGCAACAAGCAATAGGTATCCTTCACCGAGATGCTACCGAAAGTTTCAAGGCCGAGACCACGATGATGAGGTAGAGCCACGATACGCAACAGGTTAGGTGGCGAAGGATAAGGCGTTACTTCACCAAACCAGAGCATCATCTTCTCTAAGGCAAACGCAGCCGCATGTCCACTCACAACTGGCGTGAGCTCCAGGCGATCTCGACTGTGACGCTGTCGTTTGTCGAGAAGTGTGTGGTTCGAGGTGTCAGAGAAACCGTCTTCTTCACAAAAATATGCTATTCGCACTCGATCACTCGCCACATACTCAGAGAAAGGGCCAATAAAGAGCCCTACAGAGTAGGTTGGCAGTCGGATGTCTCCCGGGGTGTTAAACTCGACCGAACCTTCGAGTCGTCGGGCCGCACTTATAGAAGTGATCGAATTATCACCAACGTCCCTCTCAGCTACCCTCAGTGTGAAGGAAGCCTTGAAGCGTGGGTCGTCGACGCAGGGATAAACCCGACGTGCATGTCGGGGTTCCAAACTCGTACCAATATAAAACTCCTTCGCGGAGTTTGGAAAGTCACTGTCGTCTGCGAGTGCTTCCAAGTCACTCACGTCGAGGCTGCTGACGTGACCTTTAGCATGAGAGTCAGCCGTGAATAATCCTCGGGGGGCGACAGTTATGGTACTGCCATCGAGGCGGCTTTTCAGAGGACCACACCTTGCCAGTTTCCCCGTGTATTCGACGAACACCTCGTGGGCTTGGCGTTTTACAGGAACTTCAATAGCGAGGACTCCCTCAGAAAGCTCATACTGAGCTGCAAGATCGTCAACTTTCAAGGCCGAGATTGTCATTCCAACAGCATGCAGGGAGATAATATCACACTGGGCATCTACTGTGTGCAAGTGGATGCGGACTTCGCCGGAGAACACCCCTCTGTCCCGGTCAAAATTGCTGAGCGATATATCGTACGATATGGGTGCGAACCCCTCACCAGGCTTCTCAGCCCGAGCAAGAAGAGTGCCGCTTGGCATCCGGTCAGTACACAGCGAAGAGCAAGTTGGTGCAGCGGGGGATGCGATTGACGGTAACTTGCGCGCCATGAGCCTCTATGACATAAGATACTCGACAGTCAAATTTAAACTGATAACATGTGATAAAAGGGACGTTTATAGAGACAACTCATTGTCTAGCCAAATATCACGAGCAAAGCTCCCTAGGACGTGACCCGCCGCGCTCCCTAAGAATCATCGCTACAGAGCTCGTATTTAATATCTATTGACTCTCCCACTAGTAAGATACTTATTGACTGCGACATTGACCATACTAGGTGTGGCATATCGGCCCCACCCAGATTTCTTGACCCTACCGGCCTATCATAAGCCTCTAAAATGTGACCCTTACCCTCCCTCCGCATAACCCGGACATGATAAAAATCACCCTTCCGGCGGTGCGTGGGATGGGGCGGCTATGCCCATTAATCCGATTATACCGGGGGAGTTAATCGCCTTTCCGCGGGCAACTGCGTAATTAATTTTACTAGGCAATATCTTGGGGTGGCATACCGACCCCACCCAGACAACTTGACCCTACTGTTCTCCAAGAACCTCTAAAATGTGACCCCAACCCTCCCTCAATTCCCCTTCGGCGGTGGACGGGATGGAAAGAACAATTCCTCAACTGGGGCGGCTATGCCACATCTTGGGGTGGCATACCGACCCCACCCTTTTGGTCTCCAAAATTCTCTAAATTGTGACCTTAACCCTCCCTAAACATTACCCGCACATGATAGAGATCTCCCCTTCTACTACCGCTTTTTTACCTCACACTGACCTTAGGCGTACCACAGACAACCCGAGTTCTCCATTATGGTAAACGGGATGAGCTAAGGTGATGGGGCGTTCTGGGAATTACCAACTACGAAACACAAGGCAGAGCAATGTATATGATGAAAAAAGTATATTACTGTATATGAGATGATTAGGAAATTGATGCAGTGCATGGTAATGGGCAGTGATAATCAACGCACATCTTTTCTGACCATGCTTACTAACAGTTCCTCACTTCTTGGCGCATAAGACGCGGCTGAGCCAATCGAGGCCCTCATAGAGACCATCACCAGTCGTGGCACAGCAGGACTGGATGAACCATTGTCGATGTCGCATCGATTGTAAGCCCAACTGATCTGTCACTTCACTGGCTTTCATAGCATTTGGCAGATCCTGAACACACGGTTGATCCTCTCAACGATAGACTGCAAAATAATTCCGTAATACTTGTTTATTAGCGAATACCAAGAGGACAGCATCTCGTAGTTCCTCTTCGTTCATCATTCTCTGCAACTCGTCCTTAGCATCGCCAATGCCTGAAACCGGCTAGAGTTTAACAGTAAATCATTCATCCTACGGTCACGGTCATTGGAGTCCACCACAAAGATTAAACCATGGGTGTTCTGATAATAGTGCCTGTTCACTGAAACTGTCAACGAGTATCAAGACAATGCAACACACCTCCACAGCGGCCTGATCTTATCCTGTCCACCAACATCCCACACAGTGAAACTGATATTTTTGTATTCAACAGTTTCGACGTTGAAGCCAATGGTTGGTATGGTAGTCACCACTTCACCCAACTTCAATTTATACAGGATTGTAGTTTTGCCTAAAAGCCTCAACAATGGTCACCACGAGAGCCTTTCACCGGTCACCTGCTGCGTCCAGGCCCACCATCAAAATTCGCAATTCCTTCTTGCCGAAAAGACGATCCCAAAGCGAGGAGATTTTGAGACCCATTGCCGCCTAACGATATCACAACTTTAAGGTGACTTACCGAAATGCGTCGAATCGTGGCGATGCGAAATCCACCGCGCTCGCCCAGCGCAAATCACTTGGACACTGATCGTATCTTAATGGTTGTAGAAGTTCCCGCTCAACTCCTCATGAAATCTGATCGTGGTGTATATCATGCGAGAATCTATTTGCTCAGATTGGCATCTCCACGATCTTATCGCATAGACTCAGATCTTTCCCAGTTCCATCATGCACTTGTTCAAAAGCGTTTTCGCTACCCTCATAGTAGAGCTTTTCACTCTACAACGTCTCGGGTCCACCCTAAGCGATGATGCTCCTTGGAGAGACGGCCTCAAAGTTTCCCACCAAGTACAACGGCCCAACACCCCCCTATTGGCACTTGCCCTTCTCAGGTCGACGGTTTAATCTGCCAGCTCGAATCCACTGATTACGTACTTGCGGTCAACCTTAATACGGCTGAGATTCTCGTTGAAATCCCAGACGAACGCCCTATAAAGTGGACTCCCTTGCAACGGTTGAAGGTGCAGTGTTTTCCTCCTCAGGACTGAGATCGCCTTTCCTGACGACTCTCCAACTGATGGTGATGAAGAACGCTGCATTGACGCGATTAATAACCTCGAGGGCGACATTGAAGACTCAGACACCATTCAAACGGTCGTTCAGACTACTTATGCTGGTCTGACCACCACAGACCTCCAATAGATTTACCATGTCATGTTTGCTATTGTTTGGGGCCTCCACTGGGGCTGTGTCAATTGTGCCTCCTGTCATGCTCAAGAGCTAGCGTTGTGTCAACCGTCCGTCAATATTGATGGTCTACTGTGAAATTCAAAGTGTATATCAAAATCGACTATGTTGCGACAATTGTTATCATCACTCACTGTCAAACGAGATGAACCACGCTGTATTATATTGTGATGTCTCAGGGGATTGCTGAGTGATGACAACCGCTCATAAGCGTCTTTTAAACCGCCGAGCCTGTCATGAGAAGCCAGTTACCTTCATAGACCTCCCCGACCTGGCACTACTGACGATATTCGCGTTGAGTGGTCAGCCTCTGGTTTGCTCACTCATCTCCAAACGAGCTCTACAAGTATGTGATTCCTCCTCTAATAACTCGCTGTGGCGAGGGTGCCCTGGCGGTCGATTGGGGTATGCTCGACGACTCAGAGACAAACGTTCAAGTGTCGTAACAAAGCTTCGTAAAATGACTCGGAAAGACCTTCTGCCTAACTTACCACGCCAATGTGAATACCTGCATCTTTTCAAGTGGACGTTGTATGTGCGAGAAGAGGCATCGTCAGTCGACTCGGGGCCTTTCAAACACACACCGACAGAGTGGACGTTTGAGCTGTCCGACCCCGGCCCGTTTGTGGTGTCGGCATCTGGCACTGTATTTCGGCTCACCTTCTCGGCTCATCGAAAGCTCATCAGTTGGCCACTACTGCGGAACGCTACCTTTCGACTGAGCGCACGGTCAGCGGCATTACTAGGTGTTGAAGCTGATATATTCTCGGGGAAAGTGAACGTTTTGGGAGAGCCTGTTGGTGGCTGTGATGAGGTTGTGTTAATGTCTACTGGCCGCATTGCAATCGGCCTGTGGTCGGGCCCCGAAAGTGAGGTTGCGGTGATCTACCTCAATGTTGCCTTCTATGATATAGTCAGGGCTTTTGGTCTTGCCAGTCATCGTTCTGGGGGAATCCCCGATGACCTGGACCCACTGGTCGGACTTAGAGGGCTCACAGTGATGGTAGCACTGAGAGACGGCGCTACAGTTGTGTTCAGCAATACTTTCTATCGTGTGGACGCTGAAGACACTTTCATACAGCAACCTGAACCCTCGGCTGTTTTTCATGTGTTAAAACCGCATCAATCAGGACAGGCATTCGAATTCCTGATTGATGGTAGTCTTAGGCTGGCCTGGCGTACAAGGGCCTTCAAGAGGTTCTGGCATGCTGTCACGGTTGACGTGGTGGTATTCACTGAGGACCACGAAGTTCTATGGAGTGTGAGCGAAGTGGCTCCACTCAGAGCGACGTCCTCACGGGTTGATCATTCTGCTACTATTGATTTTGACGTCACCGAAGACTGGAGGCAACACTACGTCTCTTTGGCTCAGCAGAAAGTGGCGGCCCTTGAGGCACATGCCCTGGAGTCGATCGATGAGAAGTGAACTGCCCTTCAGGAAAATCTACCATCACTGTTCCCCTTTAGGTCGTGGCGTCTCGACTCGATCACCCTGATGATCACCCTAGAGCATCTAGATGCCTTCTATGGAACTCACCGTGCTCGCAGAGGCACCGTGACTGAATTGTGATCATGACAGTGTGGGAGGTTTTGTGTTCAACAGTGGAGGATTTTGGGCAAGGAAATGTGATGTGATAAACTCGACATCGTCGTGACGGTCGTAGCGATTGAATTGGCGAGAGTCAATCGTGCGACTGTCGCGATCCCACAACGAGAAACGCATATTTGCCTAAGAAAAAAACGCTCCTTACGCATATTGGAACGTCTGAAGTGAAGAAGAAAGTTGTCTAAAACTAATCACAAATAATATCAATGAAGGAGCCGTCGAAGGGCACGAAACCGAATTCACAACAACGACGCTGGCCTGTACAGAATACAGCAGTGATTCTGATTTCGCAGTATCTTTTCTGATGAGAGAACACGTTAGTTCTGCAGTAACCTGATAGTTCCCGAGCAAGGTCATTTGCTCAACATGAACGAAGGCCGGTCGATACCTCGAAGGCAATCAAGTACTGCTCGTTAATAAGGAGCGTTTCGATCGTCGTGTTCACGAAGGTTGAATGTCCCAGTGTACTGAGTTGAAAGATTAGCTCACACCGCTTCATCGGGTGCTTGATTCACCTCTGATCACCGTGATGTGGAAAAGTTACGGTATGGAATCAGCTCTAACTCACAGACTGCTGAACAACAGTCACGCTTAAGCTCAGAGAACAGCGTAGTATAACAGCAGTGATCATGGTACACTAGATCCTCGATGATAGTCTCAGTAGGGCTTCTCGTTGCTGTGAGGCAGCCGAACGTAGGAGTGCTACTTGCTCCTTAAAGGCCTCGTCCAGGAGCTCATTAACCTGGCATATTAGTGACAACGACAGAGCCGATGAGACCACACCATCTCCAACGGGGCGGTGTGCGAGACGGGAGGCGGCGGGGGAACCGCGGGGAAGGTCGACCAACTGCCGAGGGCAAAAGGTTGATGACCATAACAGTGACAAACAATATGCTTTTCTGATGAGGGTTGTTCACACTGAGTGCCGATGCTCTGTGGGAGGCCGTCGACCTGGTGGAATATCGGGGGATTCGACACGTTAATTACGACCAACCTGCACGCCTTGCTCGACGCACGTTCGAACCAAAGGACGACGTCTCGGGGAGGATCGTGGTGTTTGGGGTGCAGCGATGTACTGTTCAGTTTGAATTGATGTACCCGAACTGAGACGAGGATTGGAGGTGTCCATCGGACCTCCGGACGAGGGCCGTGGCTTATCATCATCAGCGACAAAGATTGACGATTCTTCCTCGAAGTCCTCATCTGCATAGCTGATGTCAACACTGTGGCTTCTGAACACTTCGAGTGTTGATCGAGCGCAGCTTGGGGCCTCACCCTGGGACTGCTTCGTCTGTGGTTACGTCACGATCTGGTTCGATTGATTCAGTCTGTTGGGTATCATTTTCGCTGTGGTCAAGGCCGACTTTAGCAATTGGCCCAGCGAGCTCCTCCTCCTCGACGGGGGGTTCCTCTGTCACACTGATGTGAGGTTGCTCTAGGTCGCTAGCAACCTCGGATGATGAGGGCTCGGAGGGCAGTTCTAACTGCTCGAACGACATGATTCTGATGCCGCTTGGCGATCTGAGAGGACGCAGGTTCAAATCCCACAGCTGACATCAGCAAACTACTCGACAGTTAACCCATGCTTTTCTGGAGTCAACTGAGGTTCTTCCTGCGACCTGTGGTGAGATACTAAACCAGCTTCTGGTGTGCCTCACGGTTGTGATGGAGCCGAGTCGGAGTTTAGGAAATCCGACAGAGTCTCGCTGTTGCCGCCCTCAGAGGTTGCATAACTAGTCGAAAAATAATGTCGTTCTCGAAATTGCCGTTTACATTGCTCTGTTCAGACTCTCGTCGGCAACCAACTGGAGCTCTTCGCTGTGAGCATTCCCTTCACGAGATTGCAATTTAGTGTTGGGTTGACGTGTGAGCCGCCCAAGCCTGGCTTGAGGCGGTTGAGTTAAGTCAACAGTATAAGCCGCGCCTCCTGAGGAGGGGGGCATTCGTCTGGTGATTATTAACACTCTCACCTTCCGTATAGCTGTTACCAAAGGGATCGTTGATCTCCTGCCGATCGAAAGGAGAATTGGAGGGAGGTGGGATCGAACCCGAGTTCCTCATTGGCGAGGAACGTTGTGTAGTGGAGGACCAGGACATGAAGTGCAGTCCACTAGAGAACCCCTAGCGGCTCCACTCAGTAACCCAATGAAACCAGTGGAGCCCATCAGATGGATTGCCCGACGTGACGCACCAGCTTACCACTGGTAAGCCCAAGCCGTTCACGTTTGCCGATCCGTCCCTCTCAATGGTACTTATGGCCTCAACCAGACATACCTAATCTTCTGCCTCGTTGCCTGAAGTCTCATATTGAGACTTCAGGCAACGAGGAGACACGTCACGTTCGAGAACTTGAAATCTTGCAATCTCTTAACGAGAGCACTTGTCAAGCGCTTGCGTGCAAATTCTGTGTCCTGACGTATGTACATACGCATGTCCGCAACCATCGACTCTAACCGCGGCGTTCAACGCGGTGCCCTGGCCCAGTCCAGTTTCGTGCATTCAGCTGTCGGTGATGATGAGGATTCCCGTGACCTAACATCGGGGATACCCGGGACGCTCTACCTCCCCGGCAGCAATCTCAACGGCTCTAACTTCTTCTCTACTCTTGAGGGATTTGATGATGAGATGCGTTTCGAGAGGGCTAGCAAGATGCCCAAGATTGACCCTTCTGGACCGTTCTCTTGTGGGCCTACCCTTGGGGACCAACTAGGGCCGAGGGACGCGGGCTTCGACACGTCCATGACTGGAGTCAATAACAATTCGACCCTCCTTATGAAGTTGCTCTCTTCAACTGATGTTGAAGGTCACCATGCGCCTGAGGAACCCGGTCCTAGGCATGCAATTTACTCGGCTTTGTTGAATTTAGCCACGAGTGGAGGCAATCGATCAACCCCTGGAGCCTCCACTACTTCCAAAGGCTCAGCTGCCAATATTAATAATCGTGAGCGATCAGCACAAGGTCACCACACGGGTCCTGCTCTCATCCTGGGACCAGAATTGTTTTCTGCTGGTCTCCCGCAGTCCATGGGCCTAACGACTTTAGCCGCAGCCGTGACGACTCCCACGGTTGGCCGCAAAGTGAGGAGGGTTCAACGCAGCTATGGTACTGGTAAGTTCGCTGGTGCCCACAACTTCCCGAATGATGATGTTAATGGTCCCGTAAGGGTGGTCCGTAGAGTTCACGGTTGGGTTACTATTCTGAGAAATGGAGGTAGACAAGCCACTGGCCCCTACCGTGAAACTGTTTATCAATGTGTTGAAGATCAAAAGGAAGTCCATCGACTACGTGTGGAAAGGGGTCTGACCAATTCTGAGTTGATGCAACTCCTTGAACAGATGAAGGTTGTCACTGATCGACACCCGTCTACGCAGTTGATCAAGAAACCCAGGAAGCTGGACTATACGGCTCCCATTGGCGTTAGACGTATGCACAAGGGTTTCAGAGCGAGTGTGCGAGTGAGGGGTAAAGAGGTCTATGGTCCACTACGACAAGATGTTGCTGATGCTACCTGTGATAGAGAGGAAATGATGAAGTATCGTCATGTAGTTGACGCTCCTGGCATGAGGGCTTTTGTTAAGACCCTAAAGGAACGCGTCTATCCTCATCATCAACAAGAAGTCCATCGTTCTCTGCATGGCGAGCAGGCACCGCCCTCTAACACTCATTCTAACACTCATCGTGTAATGCCTACATTTGCGACCGAAGCTCAGGGCCCAATCTTGTCGATTGGCTGAGGAACGCTGTCATCGTACTTTAATTTCCTTCGCGTTCGCACCGAACTACGGCTGACCATCCATTAGTTTTGTTGTGTCACATCTTATAATTTCGTATTTCGCTCGTATATGTAGTATTTGTTCTGAGGGGTTTTGCACCGTGTTCAAGGGTGTCAAGGGTGTATGGTGGTTCGACTCTAATTTTCACTACTAAGCGGTAGTGTATATTTCTCATTTGCCACAACCAGTATTAGCCGTAGAAAGTACTACCAGGTATAACAGATCTTGTGGGAGATCCTTTTCATATCAAAACTCGGATCGTGTTAACTTCAGTGAGTCGACAACTAACTTGGTCATTGCAAATGTCTGTTCAAGAGGAAGTTGAACGAAGGACTAGAGCCCACTTCGCAACGGCCACAGCCATTGACGTGGTGGATATGGGTTCAGAGTGTTCCGGAGCTAAAGTGAGCCAACTAGCAGCATCGAAGTCGGTCGTAGCGCATCTGTGTTGAATCCTGAGCATCAACATCAAATTCGTCACAACCACTATGGGTCAGTTGATTTATAGTGAAAAATTCATGAAATCTGGTTACGGAGGAATATTTCAAATGGAAAGAATTTTTATCGCGTTTATCATCTCCAGTTTTATGATTGATCTGCTTACTCGAATTCCTCCTTTGCTCAGTGTGGTATATCCACGATGCGGTCCTGATGCAGTGACTCGCACTTGTTGTTTTTTTTTCAGTTGGGCATACTGGTAGTCGACCCGAGTTTTGAGGGAGTGTCGACGATAAAACGCCATCGTGAGGTATGGTAAATGGTCATGAATCGGACCTCATTCGTATCCAGGTGCAAGGACTTGTGAAAGATCTTTTGGACTCGGGTGAGCTGCATGCTATCAGTCTCCAGGTGAGGAGGATTCTCAATGGTATAGACCTCGGGAATAGCGGCCCCATTCTCCAATCATACTTCTCAATGGTAAAGACCTCGGGCATAGGCGCCCCATTCGTCAAGTAGATTTCTCAATGATAAAGACCTCGGGCATAGCGGCCCCACTCGCCAAGTATACTTCTCAATGGTAAAGACCTTGGGCATAGCCGCCCCATTCGTCCAGTAGATTTCTCAGTGGTATAGGTGCTCGAAAAGAATATCCTATTCTATGAGCATATCATCGAGGATTCAGCTCGGCAATTTTGTAATCCAGCTCGAATTGAATTTCGCTATGGAATCCAACCCAGACTACCCTTTTGGCGTTAATTGCCATACATTTCTCAGACGCTCACACCAGCCCAGTGGGAGAAGAAGCAATCTCAATAAACAGCCGATCCCAGTTTCCATGACGCTATGCTCAGAGTTACACGGGTTGCGGGAGCGGGTCGATGGGCTTACCACGACAGGCCTCAGTAATGCCAACAGTGGCTTCCTTCAGGTATCTGTCTGTATGAAAACCTTATACGATGCAACATATGTATGCCATAGTTCGCAACGAGTCACTATATACGGACTATGTAGTTTGCTATATCTTATCAACATCTCAGCATTTTGGGAAAATGTCATCAACAACTAAAGCGGGAATGAGCCCGGCTGTCGACTTCCGTCATCTCATATCGGTTTGTGTCGCCGCTGCACAGGGAGCAGCGGGCATCATTCAAGATGTTCACGACAAGGGCTCGTTGGGGTTGGTCGAAAAAGGTACTGAGGGCGCGACAGGATTTGATAAAAGCGTGAGTTTTTTTTATTGATGTGAACTTGAGGACGTTGGTTGACCTTAGCACTATTAGAGCTCTACTGACGCCCCTTCAAGTCGAGGTAACACATTTTCGAACGGCTGGGAAGCCGGCAAGAACCCTTGCTGAAATCCGTTCTCGAACCAGTGAAATTAAAACAGCTTTGTAAAGAATCAAGCAAGTCAGCACACAGATGTAGATGTAATCTATCTGTATGATTGACGTGTTGTATGCTGTCGATTCAACAAGGAAATTTGACCAGGGTATGCGCCTGTCTTCTAAGCTTCACTAACTTATTCCGAGCACATCTACATCATGATGTCATAAGGATTGTCTGATAACACTTGTCATTCCTGGTGGTTTGGAGGTATTTGGACTTAGAATGGTCTCTTGAGTTCGAATAACGAAGATACATGATGGGTTCAGAGGCATGAGCCATTCCTGTTGAAAATCGTACGGTTCAATCCCGATGAGTCTTAATGATCAGGTTGCGGTGTTGATTCGTTCACCGGAAGACCGATGGACGATCCCCAGACAGAAGCCGATCGCCGTGCTGAGGCCTACATAATGTCCATCTTAAAAACACAGGTTAGTAAGGGTAGCAAAGAGTATCTGTAAGGTTATCCACTAGGTACCTAATCTCGATCCGACGAGCATCGTTGGCGAAGAAAGCGAAGAGGGGGAAAGTGAGGCGGATGAATCGGAAGCAGTGGATGCTGTTCAAGGCTGTGAAGCTCCTGAAGCAAGGCCTGTGTTCACGGAAGCGGTATTAAATGCATGGCCAGAAGATCTTAGTAGGAGGTGGGATACTGTATGGACTCCATAGTCCATCGACCTACTCGCCCTCCATACTATGGAGGGTGAATAAGTCGAAGGACTTGGAGGTCGTAAACTGGATGGGGGAAAACGTGTACGCCTGAACGCGATAAGATCTGAACTGCATGGTTGTGGCATATCGACCCCAATGTACGCAGATCTGAGCTGCATGACTAGGGCATATCGGCCCCGGTATCCGTAGATCTGAACTGCGTAACTTGGGCATATCGGCCCCAGTATCCGTACATCCAAACTGCATGACTGTGGCATATCGACCCCAATATCCGTACATCCAAACTGCATGACTGTGGCATATCGACCCCAATATCCGTACATCCAAGCTGCATGACTGTGGCATATCGACCCCAATATCCGTACATCCAAGCTGCATGACTGTGGCATATCGACCCCAATATCCGTACATCCAAGCTGCATGACTGTGGCATATCGACCCCAATATCCGTACATCCAAGCTGCATGACTGTGGCATATCGACCCCAATATCCGTACATCCAAGCTGCATGACTGTGGCATATCGACCCCAATATCCGTATATCCAAGCTGCATGACTGTGGCATATCGACCCCAATATCCGTACATCCAAGCTGCATGACTGTGGCATATCGACCCCAATATCCGTACATCCAAGCTGCATGACTGTGGCATATCGACCCCAATATCCGTACATCCAAGCTGCATGACTGTGGCATATCGACCCCAATATCCGTATATCCAAGCTGCATGACTGTGGCATATCGACCCCAATATACGCAGATCTGAACTGCGTGACTGTGGTATACCGACCCTAAGTGCGCAGGTCTCAACTGCATGACCGTGTCGTAATGACCAATATGCGCAGATCTAAACTGCATGACTGTGGCATATCGACCCCAATATCCGTACATCCAAACTGCATGACTGTGGCATATCGACCCCAATATCCGTACATCCAAACTGCATGACCGTGGCATATCGGCCCCAATATCCGTACATCTAAACTGCATGACTGTGGCATATCGACCCCAATATCCGTACATCCAAACTGCATGACCGTGGCATATCGGCCCCAATATCCGTACATCTAAACTGCATGACTGTGGCATATCGGCCCCAATATGCCACAGTTTCCTTGTAACCAATACCACACCCGAACTAACTCGTTGACGAATTGATAACTTGACAGTCTTGACTCTGCTCTAACCTCGTCATCAGCTTCTCAGCTTGAGAGCAAAGAGAGTTACTCAAAATAATAAGAGTCATGTCTGTTTTAGGATCAGTGCCGGCCTCGTCAATAGCGCTTTGGGTGGACCCTCTTGATGGTACTTCTGAGTTCACAAGAGGCAATTTAGGAAGCGTAACCACTCTTATAGGTGACGTCTGTCCCACTGTGGTTCTCTCCACAATACATTTCAGGAATCAGCGTGAATAACAGAGCAACGGCAGGCATCATCGTTCGCCTAGTCGATCGAGAAACTTTTGTGGGAGTAGTTGGCGTTGGTGTTTTCCGGACGCGCCCAGGAGAAAGCATTGAGGCCGTGAGCAGACCTGAGCGTGTTGATGTTGACATTGCAGACGGACTTGACATTTGCACAACAAGGTAGTAAATTGCTGTATCTTACGTTGACGTTGGTTATTCTCAGAACTAAAACTGCTCCTGTTGTCGTGGCGGCATTCGAAAATCTCGGACCAAAAACTCGAACTCTGAAACACGGAGGTGCTGGAAGGAAGTTCCTCGACGTCGTGACGGGCGTTGCTGACGCGTAAGTGGGTTTTGTTCACTAAGTAATGTGATGCAACGAGTGACCGTGATCGTAGTGGCTTAATAATTCAATCAGAGACATTCTTCATCCTTCGTCGAGAGACACTGGCAACGATAACAGCAGTGTGTTATCTCTAGTGCTCTCAGTACTGGTCTATAGGAAATTGGTGTGTCAATCTAGAATCCGATGAGCCCTCCAGAATCTGCGGAGAGGAGCTCTTCTATTCGTCAGGTATCTGTATCCGAGACCGGGCACAAAAAGATGGGATAGCTGTGCAGGTGAGGTATCATACTGTTATTACCTTGCATATCTCCTCCTTCTTAGGCGAAGCCCTTTTACTTGCACTAGGCGGTAATGTGACCGACGCCATCGGAGACATAATAGAATACCACATTTTTCGTGAATCCACTGACGTTCTCACTAATGGCGCTGATCCTGAGCATCCGTACTTGAACGCTTATGGCCTGGTGGCTAGCATAAGAGGGTAAATTCAGTGATTCTGGAATGATGTAATTTGCTGTGTACTGTCAGGCCTGAATTCCATTATAAGGTCTTGCTTCCTGCAGTCTACAAAGCTGTTGCTGAGCATGCTCCGACATTCCCGTTGTCAAGTGAACGAAAACACGAGGCGGCTATTTGAGTTGATTAAGTTGCATCCGTCGCATATGAAAGGAGTTTCTTCTGTCACTACGTTGGTCTTCAGTTCGTGATCGTGGGGATGGACGTTTATAACTCGCTGGGGTCCTTCAAGGGTTCAACAATCACCATTCGAGCGTTCTTGAAAGACAGTACGCGAATAGTGAATCGAACAATTAGATACCTCACGGATCAATGACGTGCTCAAGCGCTCATTAGCGATAACGAGAGTATCACTGGCCGTGTGTTGGCATCAAATAGACCAATTTCTCCACCGGAGAAGTAAAGTGATAGTGAGGTGAATTTAGTGAAGGTGTCTGGAAAATGACGGATGAATAAAGTGATAGTAATGTGAATTTAGTGAAGGTGTCTGTACATCATGCCTTCGGTACCTGAGTGATATCTTGCATTCTTGCATCTCCTCAGAGATTCAATCGTCGTATGCGTACATGCTCCTTTACACGTGTATTGGCGTACATAAATGAATCACGACTACGGTGAGTTGCTTCAAGACCGCAGCGGAGATATTACTACTGGTGGCGGCTATTCTAGCCAATACCAGTTAAGTGATGCCATCCCCGTTCTCGAGGGATCACCTTTTGCCTTCCCTCAAGGGTCTGTTATCACTGGTGACACCACTCATGAAGCTACTCCGAGGACTACTATGCTTAACAACAACGACTCCCCTCTCCAGCAATCGGTGGATATGATGTTATTTGATAACTTTGGTATGCCGCCTGGTGAACCATCGAGTCGTAACGGATGTGACGTACCGGAGTTTGACGATAACTTAACTTTAATATCTCGATTATTCTTGTACGGCGATCGCTTGAATGCTCGTAAACAGGGCGGCAACGTCCATGGACCACAAGCACTAGGCTACCCTGCTGGTTTACCTTCTGAGTGCAATTCTTTGTCTGCAGCTACTACTAACCTCTTTGGTGGCAACTCTTCACCAGTTTCGAACAACGCCTTCACTCCACTTGTATCTCCTCCTCCTCATCATCGTCCGAGCTTTCCCATTGAATTTTCCGAAGTACCATTTCGGGGTGATATATCGACTGACGACGGCAACGGGCCAATCAGAGTCGTACGACGGTCTCGCGGTTGGGTTACTGTCCTGAGGTATGGCGGTAGACAAGCTACAGGCCCCTACCGTGAAACAGTTCGCCAATGTGTTGAGGATCAAAAGGAAGTCCATCGACTACGTCTGGAAAGGGGTCTGACAAATTCTGAGGTGATGCAACTTCTTGAGCAGATGAAGGTTGTCACTGATCCTGTTTCCTCAACTCGAAAGAAGCCTAAAAAGCATGATTATTATGCTCCAGTGGGCGTTAGACGTATGCACAAGGGCTTTGCAGCCAGTGTTAGGGTGAACGGTAAAGAGGTCTATGGTCCACTACGACAAGATGTTGCTGATGCTACCTGTGATAGAGAGGAAATGATGAAGTATCGTCTTGTAGTTGACGCTCCTGGCATGAGGGCTTTTGTTAAGACCCTAAAAGAACGCGTGTATCCTCATCATCAAGTACGTTCAACATCGGTGGGAGATAACAGCAACATCAACGCCGATGAGAGTTTGTCGAATATTATTCGGGAAATGGACGTTAACCCTTTATCACCCACCCGTTGTTGTCAGTAGTAATAGTATAGTCTTCGGCTCGTAGGTCTTGGTGTAGCAGTTATACATTTACTTGAGTAGCTAAACTCAGTCGTAATTCTTTCAGTGTTCGGCTTCACGACTTATATACAGTTCGCTCTCGATTAACGCATCAGTGTCGTGTGAACTTGTATTTGCGGCGCTGTATGCTGTCTATGGTCATCTCTTTATTTGTCGTGAAATCGGTTAAGTGGCGGGGGCTTTTGAGATGACATCACATTTTTACTCGTAGCAATTGTTTTTTCAACAAATTTCTTATTGAGACCATCGGAGTTGTGTTCTATTCAGTTGGGGGAATTTCAACTGCAACAAGAAGTTGTACATTAGTGAGTGCTTAGAACACCTCTCCTGAAACGATCGTAGGATTGGACAGAAAATGTGGAAGTCCGAAAGAACCGAATTTGATAAACTATACAAAGAGGGGGAAAACCCCCGATATTCGCGGTGATATGCAGTAGTCGTGAAATATGTTTTTCATATCACTAGGGTGGTGGTGAAACTCCACTGTTAAAAGTGTTGTTCAGGTTAGACTAGAGTTGACAGTAGAAGTAGGAGTGATTCGAACGTGTAGAGGGAAAATATGCATATATGGTCAATGTTGGCGAGAATATTGAAATTCTGGGAAATTTATATTTCTACTCGGATTTGCTTAGTAAAGATACCCTTAAGCTCAGCTGAAGAGAGCTATATATGATGCAACACTGATGTCAATTACTTTACATCGTGTCAGGCTCAGGCGAGCCACCTGAACCGTCGAAGCAATCAGCTTTACTCACACTTTCACTGATAATATCTACACTGTAATCACAACTGATTTCACTTTGATAACGATAAGGTTCTGCTACTGCTCTGGAGCTTACTTTTTATCGTCCTCCTCTTGAAAAACTCAAAGGAATATGTGCCTACTTACTTCTCACCTTGGAGTTTCACCACCCGTTTTACGCGAAATTCGCGGCTTATATGCGTTTTTCGCGAAGTGAAATGTGAACTGTGCTTCTCACTGGTGTTTTTCAAATCACTAGGGTGAAACTCCACCACTTGTTGAAGCTCGCGCATAAGGATTACTTTCGAGTGTAGGATTTGCATAATAACAACAACAATATCGATTCGATTCGTGTTTGTTTGGAGGAGTATTCCACCACTAGCATGCGACGAGATTGTCGTATGTCTTCCCACCCTAGTGATATGGAAAACATATTTCACGACTACTGCATATCACCGCGAATATCGCCTTTTTCCCGAGTTTTACGACGCCACTCCGCGTAAAACGGGTGGTGAAACTCCAATATTAATAATATTAAGTAAACGTTCTATGAATAAAGTTGGCTTTCGAAGTCTGTGTCAATATCACTTCGCGTAACGGTTTGGTTCACCCTGTAGTCGCTTTTTAATGACTAATTTTGTGGCGCGTGAAAACTATCCGAGTATAGGAGCTCAGGTGAGGCCACTTCCAAAGCTGATGCTACGGAAAGTCGGCATCGTGACGAAACCAGTTGTGGAAGAGGACGACGTAGCGGCTCCGATGGCCGCGACATTAGACGGTAAATGCGCGTGTGTGGTTGTGTGGTATGCGCGAGCAGTTGGTGAAATTAATATAACATATAGATATATAGATATATATATATACTATGTTTTACGACGGAGTTTCACCACCGGTTTTACGATGTGAAGTGGTGTGATACTCTGTGAAAAACGCGATATTCGCGGTGATATGCAGTAGTCGTGAAATATGTTTTCCATATCACTAGGGTGGTGGTGAAACTCCGTTGCTCGGATGTTGGCGAAAATGATATATATACTACTACGCTTCACAATACGACATTTCTTGATTTTTCGGATAAATCAATGGAGCCTCACCCTAGTGATATGAAAAACATATTTCACGACTACTGCATATCAGCGCGAATATCGCGTTTTAGACCACGTGAAACTCCAAAGTTCATCGTTGTTGGAAATTTGACAACAGGTGCCTGGTTCGCGGTAACTTGCTCGTACGTGGGCAAAGCTAATGTCATCGCCATTTTCGAGGGCAGGAAAATCGGCAATAGGAAACCGGTGAGATTTGGGAAAATATGAAAATATGGAAGAATTTAGTATTAGTTTCACTCAAATTAGGAAACCCTCCTGAGCTCAGCAGAGGAAAGCGAACATATATTCCAACACGACACGTTTAACGTGAAGTGGCGTTATATCTTTCCGCGAAAACCGATAACACAATTGTCTCCCGTGAATTCTGAAATTTGGTTTTTTTCACTCCACTGATAATCAGTAACCTGCCATTTCAGACTCGTTGGTTGTCCGCGAAGCCGCCAGCTTCACCAGTGATTGACATTTGCTTTACTCGCGCTCACTCCTCCGAACAGTCGCCCTTCCCCCGAGTTCGTCTTGTTGCGACTTCGATAACGGCTATCTCAGTCTGGGACGTTGAAACTGGTATACTCCTTTTTGAAGCCCCTGGGCGTTGCTCTTTGGCGTCACCTCGAGTTGCTGGAGTCACTAACAGCAGTACGGTTGTATTGTGGCAAAGTGGCGAGCGTGCGGTATATGAATGGAACGTTGGTGGTGATGGTGTTTTTTCAACCGTACCACACCTCCTCGAAATGCCCTGTATCGGCGAGGTGATACTCTATGCTGCTGCTGGAAGCTCTAAGGACTGCTCATTGGGTCTGTGTCTGGCCACTGATCGCCACCTCATCGTCTGGCGAGTTGGTTGCCCTTTATTGCTCGATAACTCTGCTACTGCTGAGCTCGTCGGGAAATGTCAACAGCTAGTTGTATATAAAACTGGTGTTGCTGCTATACTTGGACTCGACAAGGCCTGTCTGTGGTCGGGAATCAGCGGCGATGCTGTGCTTACTGTAGCGCTCAACACTGGACAGCCAGAAGGCCTGTTTGTGCAGAGTGACAATGATGCTGTGTTTGCGTATACTAAAAGCGGTTGTTGTATGCTCGTGAAACCAACAGTATGTAAAACGACCGATCTCACTTTGCCGGAGTGCACTGTGGAGGTACTTCCTGTTGGAACTAGAGGCTATGTGGTGACGGCTACTCCGAAGGAACTACTATATTATGATCTCCTAGGAGGAGGAGGAGGGTGTAGTATTCATCCTTACTTGTATATGCAAACTCATGAGTACAAAGGGGCATTCATAGGGTGTTGGATTCTGGACCGACGACATACGGTATGGAAAATAGTGGCGATTTCGGGAGAGAAAGCAATAGCGAGGCGAATGGAAAAGTTTGATGATGTCGTTGATGTTGTATTAAACGGTATTCAGCATCAACGATTTTCATTTATGGGTGCGGTAAGTGGAATGCCTGGCGTTCTGGTTGGGGGCACAGACGAGGGGGCGCTTCTGATGTGGAATATTGGAGGACATTTTTTCACAGGTGAGAAAAAATGTGTAAAACGAAATTGGGAAAAATCTCAAAAAAATTTGTATAAAAAAAATTGAGGAATTTTTTCTGAAGCTACACCACTAAAATTCGTTGATTTCTGTGGTGTAGAAATTGCTGAGCTCAGAAGGGGAATGAAAACGTATATTTCAACGCGACCATTAAAACGCGAAAATCAGAACTTCTCCCAGCGAAGTGATTAAAATTCATATATACACTACTAATAGAAAACTGTCACCACAGCAGCAACTACGACTGAGTGATGAACTACTTCTATATTGCTTCTTGAACCTGGACATTTACGAGTAACGCAAGTATTCATCGATGATACCGTTTTTGAGGAGTTATCCCCCAACAACCACCGCGAAAGCTCACGAGGAGATGTGATAAAGGCGATATTGGAAATTGATAATAATAGCAATATTCAAATTCTCACTTAAATGTTCTATATACTACTCGAGTGACATTTCTAGTCGCCTTTTCAGGAGCTCCAGTGTCATCCATACCGTCCCTTTCCCCCTTCGGAAAGATCATAGATGTGCGTCGGTGTGCAGTTATGTCGGCCTTCTCAAGGGAATACATCAGCACGGCCGATGCCGAGCCGCTGGTTCTTGCTGCTATGGATAACACGACATCTGTCAGAGTGGTGAAGGCTGATGTCGATCAACATGGTCTAGTGGAAGGCCTCAGGGAGATCATCAGGTCGCGGTTTACACAGGATGAAATGATTCAACAACAACAACACTGGAGTTTTACGTGAAGTGGCGTCGTAAAACTTACTGAAAAACGCGAAATTAGCGGTGATATGCAGTAGTCGTGAAATATATTTTTCATGTCGCTAGGGTGGTGGTGAAACTCCAATGATAGTAGGAGTACCTATGTGTTGAAAGAAGTCAAATTTGTCAAGCTCGTCAAGTTTCTTTCAGATCACTGAGTTCGATCATTTTTGAAATTTCACTAATAGTATGAGAGCTCGAATAGGAAGTTTGAATTCGCCGCGATAGGTGAAATCATTTGAACAACTGAAGACTTGTCGTGATTCTTTTCAGATTACAAAGCCCATCGTACCAGCCTGGCATGGTTTATGGCGTTGTGGTGGAGCTCCAGCCTACGTCTGATGCAAAGTGAATATTAATTTTCTCTAGTGATAAAAGCGATTATTGATAACTTAGATTATCAGAGCTGGATGCAGCGGACGAGTACATGTCGGTGTTGTTCAGCTGTTCTCAGTCGAGGCATGAACAATCTGTTCACAACGAGGTGTGGGTGGTGGCTACTGGAGAGAAGGAGTGGCAATGGGAAAGTGACAAGGGCTGGCCTCGAGGCATGGACAGGTGAGGAGAGTTTGTGGCTTTTCTGAAGTCAAATTTGAAACTATAAATTCGGGGGGGGGTGGAATATGCATTCAACTGCGTTGGAAAATTTTGGTTGGTTTTCGAAGATTTCTACCCGAACTCGAGAGTAGGTATAAACATGGTGAACGACATGTGTTGGCTGTCAACATGAAAATTCTGCTAGGTTTTTGCATCAGAATTCGTCTCTTAGAAACTCCTGAATTCAGCGAACATATATTCTTGTAACACTGCTCTAGATTAGTCCCGTACACCTCGGGCAGTTCCCATGATTTCATAAAGGTATCTTGACGCTCCTACTGTGACCACAGAGGCATTCGCTTTGACCCAGATAGAGCCCTACGGGTTTGAGCTCACCGCTGCTGTTCCTGGTGCTGGGCTGAAGACACTGCGGAGCTCCACTGAGGAGGCCACTATCAAGACACTGCTGAAGGAGAAATACTGCTATGCTGGTCTGCGAAGTGACGAGGGATGGCTGAGTGTTGACGGGGAGGCTCGAGGCGCTGTCGATGGTCACCAACAAGTGCTGGAGATTACTGTTGAGAAAACCAGCACCAGCAGGAGGAGGAGGAAATATTCAGAGTTGACGCGCCGCTGCACCGTGCATCCGAATGCCCCTCTGGACCTCAGGGCGAACTACCGGTCTCAGAAAGAGCGACAGCAGAATAGTCGACATAGGCGTCTGCGGAGGTCTGAGAGCAGCAGTTTCCCGAGAAGGGTGATGAAGAGTATGTCGAATTGCAATGCGTTGAAGCCACAACTTCACACATGTTACAATGCGGTTGTTGACTTCCTCTTGAACGGTCCTCATATGTGCCCCTATTTCGGTGATGCGATTTGGGTATGTCAAGAAGGCCTGGTCGCAGGGTCGAGCAAGAGGGCATCTAGTGCGCTTCTGGCAGATCTCAGAGGCTTATTGAGGATTTTGGAGTATTATACGATGGATCATTGCAACGAATGTCGTGGCAGAGTTCTGTCCTTATGCCGCAGCCTTTCACTCGATTTTAGTGAAATTAAATGTATATATTTCCTCGGCGTTTGCGCTGATGTTGCACCGACTATTTTCACTGAGATGATGCTCACCGACGGTCAGCAGCAAAGGGCGGCTGAGGTTGGCCATCGTCTCCTGCAAGCAGCTCTTAGTGATGGCGACAGCGTAGCAGCGGAGACTCTCATTCGAGGGTATACACGTTTGGTGGCGAGAGTTTGGAAACCGGAGAGACGCAAGTCTATGCTGGTGGAGACATACCGTGTTTACAATGCGGAGCCGCGTAGAGCCAACATGTGCCTTCAAATACTACTCAGAGCTGGTTTGCATGATCCGCTTGAATTTATAAGCACCTTTTCTGACTTGGCGGTTGAGGGGGATGATGGTACAACCGCGTTGTTGATATTACTATCACTACTGCATAAATATCCCCGACGGTTAAGACGGCTTGTACCGGAGTTTGCGGAGGCCGCAGTGCTGCGGTGTCTGGACCCAGTCTTTCCGCTTCGACGACGCAATTGTCTTATAACGGCAACGTCGGCTCTCCACGAAATGGTGAAGACCTTTCCGAACACTGCTTTTGATCAATCAACACAACGCTTCGCCGTCGCTAAAGATGCTGCTATTATTGTCTATGATCTGCGTACAGCGAGCAAGTGGAGAGTTTTCGAGGGGCATTCAGGAGATATCTCGGCGATTGCTTTCGACCCAACAGGAGCGCAGTTGGCGTCTTATTCAGCTCAAGATGCCACCTTGAGAATTGACCAGTGTGGTTCCACGGGATTTTTCGGGGGCATTTTGAGAGTCGCTGGAAAGCTGTTATTAACGCGGCAGCTACAACACATCCAGAGGGGAGGCACGGATGAGTGTCGGTGTAGATTGATTTGGAGAAGCAGAGGTGAACTCCTCTTGACGAGAGAAGACAATACGACGGTGCTGATGAAAACGTCTGACGATGATTGAATACAATTTTACAAAAGGCCATAGTTTGGTTTCTGTTTCAATGTTGTGTTTGTGTGAATTGAAACTACACAAGTTGGGTTAATGTGTTCGAATCGGAATTGTGCCTTGTATCGTGATGCGAGGTGCTCTAGTGCGGCGATCAAAAGGGATCATTCAATGGATATGAAAATCACAGTGAAAACCCAATCCCATTTTTCACTCGTCGGAAACCGCATTTCGCGTTTACTAAAGTTTGCAGTGCTAACTTCAAGCACAGAGTGACTTCGTCGAAGTCAGCTTCGTTGCGTATTAGAGTGTCTGCATAGACCTTATTAGTCCTGCTTGGCGATAGCATATATTGTGAGAAACCACCAGCAGGTGTTACTCGAAATATTCAACCCCGGAAACTCTAGGCTGAAGTATGAAAGCAATGCAAACTTGTCAAGTTAACTTTGCGTGTTCATAAACTAGTCGAGACCATATGAGTCTTTGCTATTTCGTGAAACAACATACGCCGTCAGGACGGGGCTGACAAGGGTTACGAATTACATGCCCGTATACAAAGGCACCAACGAAGATGAGCTATTATCCTCATCCGTCAACTGCCCAACACCAACATCTATAGGTTTGCATCCACGAGTGCTAAATGTCAGATTCTCTGTTAAAAACGCATCACCCGCTCGCCCTCCACCGTGACTGCTGCTGCGGTGACGTCCCGTCGGGTTCACGTCGACCTCCTTTTAAACTATCATTTTAACCCA